AGAGTACCTCCCTTAAGGCAAAGCTGTCATGCTTAGAATCTCACTGACTTCTTTGCAACCAGTTGGAGAAAACTGATTGATAACCTTAATTACATTGCAAAATTGCAATGCAAAACCCTTTTGCTATTTAACAATGATGAAGGTAATACCAGTGGGAACCATGGGGCCCATCTAGAATTAGCTGCTGGATTAGGAGTTCATTTAAGAAAAGGAGCACTGTCTTATGAACCCTTGCATCCTAGCTCCTAACATAACTTAGGAGATTGTAAATATCCAGATGTCTGTTGAATGAACGAGATTCTAGTATAAAAACATTAAACAGGGTTTGAAATTGGTGATTTTGTGTAAGGATCAGGAACCTTGGGACAAAGAACAAGGCCACTGGCCCTTGAGATTCTGATGGCAAAAGATTTGTAAAATCCAGTTAAATGACAGTAGGAATTGGGAGAAAAAACTTGAAAACCCTACCTGACTATGTAAGAAATATGTGATTTAGTTAAGCTAGCTTACATATTAACTTCGTTATAATTTGTTGTTTTTCTAGAAAATAGAGCACTTAAACTTCAGACAAGTGGAGAGGCTGATGTAGCTGGAAGAGTGGGTCTGGAAGAGCTGGTTCAATGTGCAGCTGGTCAAATGGAGCTTCATGAAAGAGCCGACCTTTCTGAGCCAGTCGGGGGAAATTGTGAAATAATAAATGAACTAGTTGCTGCCTCTACCCAAAAAGGCCAGATGAAGAAGAAAAGGCTGAGTGAGCTGGGGATCACACAGGCTGATGACAACCTCATGTCACAGGAGATGTTTGTCAGAATTGTGGGGAATCAGTTCAAGTGGAATGGGAAAGGAAGTTTTGGGACATTTCTTTTCTGATCACAATAATGTAAATAGATAGCAAAATACTGGATTTTGCACACGCTGCCCTGAGAATCATTGCTGCCATTGTAGTCTGCTTCATGTCCTTGATTGGGCTTGAGTGAAATGTAGACTTATTGCTATTTGCAGGTGTGCACACAAAGCACTCCTTTATAAGAAAGATCATAAAAATACATAAGATAGAAGATATTTGGGTGGCACCTGTGGCTCAAAAGGGTAGGGCACCGACCCCATATGCTGGAGGTGGCAGATTCAAACCTAACCCTGGCCAAAAAAAGAAAATATTTAGAGATTACTTATCTGAAAGCCTTGCTTTCTTAAATACTGCTCTCTCATATTACACCTGTTAGTAACTTTCTAGTGTAATTACACTTTAGCACTTCAGAAAGGAGGAGGCGAGGCAGAGAGTGTAGGTTAGTGTGTGCAAATGCAGCAGGTGTTACACATGCAGTGTTCTTTTCAGAGTTGTCTGTTCCTCCAGATTACAGCAGGTCTGGTTTCCATGCTTATTTGCACAGTACTTAAGTTTTTGTGATTGGGAAGTTATCTGCCTCGTCAGTGGGATGCATTTGTATGGTGAACTGTGCAATCATCTAAACAGCAATAGATGACATTGCGGGTTTAAAACAGACATGAAGGGAGTTGTTCAGAGCTGATGTGTATGGAGAGCATTTTCACTATGCTGAATGTGAATGATTAGAAAGAAGGTATTTTTCTATCACTGTAACAGTATTCTGATATTTCTTACACAATTAAAATGATCACCTATATAACTTATATCAGCTATGTTTTCTTGGTATCATATTGTAGAACATAGCTTTTAAAAATGTTTATAACAGAGTATATGTGACATTAATATGCCTAATGATTAAAATTTTAATGATATAATAATAAAATTAAATCTTGTTATATTTTTTCAAACCCAGTATGTAGCAAATGTCATCCTTTGAGGAAGACATATCTTGGTATCTTTTTAATGTTTTAGAAAGAATATTACATATTTTTTGGTAAGAGTGGTTATGTTTGTTTTTTAAATTTGAATATATATATATATATATATATTTTTTTTTTTTTTTTGACAGAATCTCAAGCTGCTGCCCTGGCTAGAGTGCCATGGTGTCATGGTTTGTAGCAACCTCCAACTCAGATTCAAGTGATCCTCTTTCGTCAGTTTTTCTATTTTTATTAGAAATGGGGTCTTGCATTTGCTCAGGCTTGTCTCAAATTCATGAGTTTAAGCAATCCCCCTGCCTTGGTATCCCAGAGCCACCATGCCTGGCCTTGAATAAATAATTAACTTGTTTTTCAGATGCTACTAAATGTGGAAAGATGTGTGTTAGATTTATGGTTTGACTAATGTAAGATATTGGGTTTTCTTCTTTTTAAAAGTTCTCTTGTAGGCTTGGCACCTATAGCTCAGTGACTAGGGTGCCAACCACAAACACTGAGGCTGGCAGTTAGAGCCCAGCCTAGGCCTGCTAAACGACAATGACAACTGCGACCAAAAAAATAGCTGGCTGTTGTGGTGGGCGCCTGTAGTCCCAGCTACTTGGGAGGCTGAGGCAAGAGAATTGCTTAAGTCCAAGAGTTGAGGCTTGCTATGAGCTGTGATGCCATGGCACTCTACTGAGGGCAACAAAGTGAGATCCTGTCTTGAAAAAAAAAAGTTCTCTTGTAAAGAGTTTTTTGCTGTTGTTTTTTTGAGACAGAGTCTTAAGCTCTTGCCCTGGGTAGAATGCTGTGGTGTCACAGCTCACAGCAACCTCCAACTCTTGGACTTAAGTGATTCTCTTGCCTCAGCCTCCCAAATAGCTGGGACTACAGTTGCCCACCAAAATGTCTGGCCATTTCTTTGGCTGCACCTGTCATTGTCATTTTAGCTGGCCTGGGCCGAGTTTGAACCTGCCAGCCTCTGTGTACATAGCCAGCGCCCTAACCACAGAGCTATAGGTGCTGCCCTATTGTTTTGTTTTGTGATGAAGTCTTACTCTGTCACCCTGGGTAGAGTGCTATGGCATCATAGCTCACAGCAACCTCAGACTCCTGGACTTAAGTGATCCTCCTGCCTCAGCCTCCCAAGTAGCTGGGAGTACAAGGCACCTGCTATAACACCTGGCTAGTTTTTCTATTTTTGGTCAAGACAGAGTCTCATTCTTGTTCAGACTAGTCTTGGACTCCTGAGCTCAAGCAATCTACCTGCCTAGGCTTCCCGAAGTGCTAGAATCATAGTCATGAGTCACCACACACAGCTTACATGAGTGTATTTTCAAAAACTTTCCATAGAGGCCAGGCATGGTGGCTCACGCCTGTAATCCCAGCACTTGGGAGTCTAAGGTGGATGGATTAACTGAGCTCACAGGTTGGAGACCAGCCTGAGCCAGAGTGAGACCTCATCTCTAAAAATAGCTGGGCGTTGTGGCTGGCTCCTGTAGTCCCAGCTACTCAGGAGGCTGAGGTTAGAGAATCACTTGAGGTCAGGAGTTGGCGGTTGCTGTGTGCTATGACGCCACAGAATTCTGCCAAAGGCAACAAAGTGAGACTGTCAAAAAAACCCAAAACTTCCCATAGATCATTTGATCTCAGTGATATATACTCCACTTTCTGGAGCTTTAGAAGGGTGATAAAATATCCACTTTCTAGATTTGGCTCTTCAGAGGGAGACTGAAGAAAGTAATATAAAACACTGATAAGCACCTAGGAGTTACCTCACTTACATTTCTTCATAATTCAGTTTGCTTTTGTTACTCCTTTCTAGGAAAATTATCCCATAAGCATGTATGTAAATTAAGGTTGAATAATTTGTTGAGTAGGCTTTGTTGCAAATGTTGTACATACTATATATATATATTTTTATTTTATTTTATTTTATTTTATTT